ACTGCACAGTCCATCCAAAGACCTTCGGAAATCCAGTCTGCAGTAACTAGCACTGTTGCAGTGTCGGAAATTTTCCATCTGTTGGACATGGTAGTAACAAGTAAAATGGTGAATCCAGCTAAAGCCAGCAGCAATGCACAAATTTGTAGAGAAGATGACGCCATTCTTCTGACAGAAGTTCTTTTCAAAGAAACCTCCCAAAATTTCTGATATTAGAAACCTGTTGAAACAGTTTATACATATATAGTACATGGAGTTATCTTTACACAAGCCTGACCTTTATGAAAACATCAAAAAGTTGCGTACCTACAAAATAATTGATCACATAAGGGAATTGTTGAACTGGAATCTAAATCTCATTAAATAATTGGAATACTTAAATATTCTATGACATCTGAGTATTTTCTTAGGAACACTTTTATTACCATACGTGTTTCCCACAAAAAATACCAACAGAGCAAAACAAGAGGACCCAACTGAGGAATTCTCTAATTTCAATTTGCAATGTTTCATCCGTTCTTTACTTGTTTGCTAGCTTAAAATTCTTTTAAAATTAAAACTATCAAATGCATTAATAAGTTATTCATCTCCCAATTACAATGCTTATCAATACAAATTTAAAACAAAATAAATTTTGATACTCACGTTTACAGTATGTTTCTAACCTGTTTCATCTACCTTCCTGCTAGACGCTAGTGTCAGCACTCTGTAAGGACCAGTTCGATCAAACAAGTGAGAGTTTCGTACTCTTTAGGACCTTTCCCCTCATTCTAAAAATCAAGGACCCGGGGCCAAAGCTCTGCCTGACTATTGCACAAAGGCGCAGGCATGGTTTTTAGCTATAGCGAAGCTTCAGTGAAATGGACGACTCGAATATTAAAACTACAACAAAATCATGTAAGTTAGAAGCAAAGATGCTCAGATTAACCTGGCAATCACTGGTATGTAATGTGCTTTGTCTGTGCCACTGAGCTGCCCACATACCATCAGACACCAAAGCAATACAGAAAAATATTATTACAATAACCACAATGATTGTTTTACGTGAAACTTTTGTTGCACTTGTCACCAAGATATTGTTTTCATGAAAGGAGGTCTGTGTCCATATACAACAGGCAAACAGTTGAAGACAGTATTTGTTTTAGAATGCAGGCCACACCGTGAAGGAATATGCAAGTTTTCTGCATTAAAAAAAAAGAAGAAAAGAACAATTCAACCTTCCTCCTATAATCACTCATTTTAAACAACTGCAGCAGTTGGAATTTGTTTGCACAAGGAAAAAAGGAAGAAGCTTATTCCACTCTTAAAAAATGTGTATATTCCACTACAAAAGTTTAATCTCACATTGTAGAGGGAGCATTTGTCTCTTGGGTGATTGTGTAGCCTCTTCAAAACACACATAACTGTCAACAGAGAATATCTGAAATAAGTTATAAATTTAAATTAAGGAACAAATTCAAGTAGACTTCACACCATGTGGGCAGGCCAATAATCCAAATGAGTGTTTCCGCACATGACCCGTGCAATCACAATTCCTGCCTGGCAGTAAGGAAAAGAAGATCGAACTATATGCTCTACACCATCTCTATGGGTAGGACATATGTCAAAATTGTAAACACAAACTTCTCATTAAAAAACAATAATTTCAACCATTATAGGCTTCAAAGTAAGGAAGCTTGGAAACTAGATTTCACCAATAGGGAGTTAACAACCTTCCTCTACCCTGATCCAAATTCAACCATGTTATAACATGGACATGTAGCAGGACTACAAATACCACTGTAAGAGTCCTTCTCCCACTCTTAAAACAACTGTCCCGTATTAATGCACCTGTTAGAAATGATACAACACCCCTGAGCTCCTCACTGTGGGCAAGTACTCCTCAACAGAAAGGTGCACATGAATCTAGACGGTGATGTTTCAGTTCAATACACAGGCAGATGTAAAGTCGCAAGAAGGATAAACTTTGATAGCATGGTGCACGATAGAAAGGTGATTTATTTTCCAGATCTTCTTAAGACAAACAAGCAAAGAAAACCTTTAGTAATTAGAAAGCAAAGCACACAGTGCTGGTATTTGAATCCTCAGGGGCCAGGGAGTGGGTCTGGTGTCTCAATGAGGGTTGAGAGCCTGGTGATGGGCCACATATCAACAGGCCATACAAGGTAGGAGCAGAGAGCCCTAGAGCCTCTCCCGAAATGCACGTCTATAGTGGGTAAAATAAGGGCCAGTGAAAGGAGAAAAAAAAAAGCAAGCGAGGGGGATGGGGGCTGTTTGCTTGTTTTAAAAAAAAAAAAAAAATCCATTTTCTTTATATTCTTTATCTCTCCCTGGCAGCTTTTAAGCCCTGCAATCAGTAACCAGTGTGGACAGACACCCGTCCAGTGGATCACATTAACAAACAAAACTGTGATTTCAGACATGCCCTGAGGCAGAACAGGCAGGGACAGCGGAGGCTGCTGCTGCTGCTGTTCCTCCTGTCTTTGTCTTCCTCTGCCCCAAGGAGCCACTCTCACTCATCCCTTCCTGACCCTGCTGCTACCACACAAAACCCATGGGACAGTCAAGACGATACCTTATTCCCTCTGGGCCACCAGTCATGCACAAGACTGCAATCCCCATGCGATGGCGGTGCTGATTCCCTACCACTCCTGTAGTTTTAACAATAAAAAGTAATGCCACTAAAATGCATTGCTTTAACAGGGTAAGAGTTCACTAACAGAAACCACCTGCAAAAGAGAAGCTTTCAAAGCAAACAGCTTGTTACTTCAACTGATACCACATCCATCCTCCTCTTTCAACCAGTACTGTGTACACTTTACCCTTCAGGACTTGATTGTCCTAGCTGCCATACGCTCTCGCTGCTTATAGATTTGAGATGATGGCACAACTAATAGCAAATATGCTTTGCAACTGCACAAAGGAAAATGACCATAAACCAAAACCAAATAAATACGTGAAGCCCAGAGCATCATCCCTCGCAAATTACACACATAGGCTACACACAACTAAGAGCTGTAGTGTGATAAAAAGAAGCCCTGGGGGAGCAAAAAGATCACCTTAACATTAAAAACAACACAGCCAAAATGTATGTGGTTTAAACGCAGGACAGGAAGAGTTAACAAACAAAAATATTTAAGTCACTTAAACAAACAAATCACTCCCGGTAAGGTCTCTGGAAATAAAAATGAGTGATAGAAGTGTCTAACCTGAAAAGTTAAAAAACTCTTACTTCTTTTTCATTTTTTTACATAGAAAAACAGAGACAAAGCATTGATTACAACACTGGTTTCATTTACATACGTATATATACATTTAAACACCAGCAATATATGACCTTGAACCTGCTAATCGTTTCTTAGTTCATGCAAATTCTGAGGCTGACCGATGGCCACCAGTACAATCAGAAAGAGATAAAATGCAGATTTAAATACAGTACTAAACCACTTAGAGCAGTGTCCCACCACAAGCTTACAGAGGTTTCCTCAGGTCAGAGTCTGGCCTTAAGTTGAGAAAGCAAACTCTTTTACTACTTGTCAAAATAAAATAAAAAAAAAAGAAGAGGAACAATGTTAATTTATTTCCTCTCCACTTCCAAATGATTTGACTTTGTAACCATGCTCCCAAAGCTGGTCTAACTTATTAATAGTCTAATCAGGCTTATAGCTACTTGCAATTAAAATACACAGATATTCTCATCTTGCTATTAACCTTCCCTCCACACAATGAACTGCAGAATAATTTGGGTTGGAAGGGACTGCACTGACGCCAACCTCCCGCGAAAGCCCAGCTTCAACGTTGGGTCAGGTTGCTCGAGCCTGGTCCGGTAACAACAGAACTGCCTCCAGGGCTGGAGACCGCACAACCACTCTCTTGTGGAGTGTGTTCCTCACACCCACACAAAACTTTGACTGCTGCCTCTCGTCCTCTCCGTGCACCTCCGAGATAAACCACTGTTTATTCAGCTGATTGATTTTAGCAGCTCTGCACTCTGATCTCGGGAGGCCCAGGCGTGACTGGCACGTAGGCCGCTTGGCTGTCCCATTTAGTATATCCACAGCAACACAGATAACTACAAAGGTGCACGCAACTTCTTGAGACTTACAAGTTATTTTCAAAGCCCACCTATCTTCTTTTTCCATTCAATTTCAGGAGGGTGTCAGTGCTCGCAGCACCAGCTGGGTAGGGACTGCTCTCTGCCAGCACAACGCCTCGCCAGCCCTGCAGGGAACCAGCCGGCACACTGTTGGCACGACGATGGCGGCAGGAAGAGCAGCACAGTGCCAGAGACTGGGAGCCCCGGCCGGCAGCACGGGGGTCACGGGAAACCTGGGGGCAACCGACCCGGGCGAGAGGTAGTGCTGAGAAGAGGCCTGAAAGGAGGCTGCGGGGCAGGAGCAGCTGCCTTGTGCCTGGCCAGCCGCAG